GGGGGGGGGGGTAGTGAAGGAAGTGGTGATGCATGTAGATCGGCAAGAATAATAATAATAATAATAATAATAATAATAATAAACTGCTAAACTCTTATAACACTGATACAAAATCAGGAACTGACAACTTGCTACATATCCGTTAATCGCTGTTGTCGAAAAGCGAAACGAGCTTGCTTATTGTTAACAAGTACGCCATAGATCTATGGTAAGCCTGTTCAAGGTTTCCAGAAGAGTCTGCGGGAGACAAGTCTTCGATTTTCGGCCGTGAAAAACAATGATTCGCCCTGAAAGGAATGTCGATTATTCAAATTCCTATCAAGCTATTCAAGGTGCTGTTACTATGGTTCGGGTTTTTTTTACACCACCGCCGCTCCCCAACCTTAGTGATAGGCAGGTTATTCGTCATTCGACTACTCCAAATCCAAAGGTTTTTCGGTTGAAGCGAAATATTGTCAGTTTTTTGGAGTTTCCCGCTATTTATTGTTTTTCTGTCAACTATTTCTCTGATTCTACATGGGCCTGATGTCTACGAGTGATTCAGTCAAGTTGCTAAAACAGGTTCAGAAACAATCTGGTCTCTTCTACGTGTCAACCCACTCCTCTCGCAAGCATTACAACTAATGCGATCGCATCTTCACCGCAGAAAATGTGCGAATCAAGCGTTACAGGGGGACCATAGCTGCTGCCAAGAAAACTTGTTTCATGTGGTTGCGCTCCAAGTGTCCAGTCGTTTTTTATTTATGCAGTAAAAAGGGTCACTTTCGCATTGTAAGCAAGCCTAGCAATATTGCAAAGCGAATGATCAAACTATCTAATGTATGTCAATTGTTCATGACGATCTCAGCAATCCTAAAAAGATTATCACGCTCTTTTCCGATAACATCAATGGTGCAAAAATCAAGATCTTGGTCCGGACATCTATATTTTATTGGAAGCAATGTAACGCATCGGCTGTAACAGTGAGTAAGATTGACACGATCTTCATGGGCGTGTTTCGTTTCTGTCATCTGTCAGTTCTACCTTTTTTATTACATATTTTTGTGTGATGAACAGCAGACGGGAAAGCCCCATAGTCACGAGAACCTGCTGTTCAGTGATGGAAACCGGTAGCCCAAGCCCCGGGACTTGGAGTGGTGAAACACATACGGCCTCGATAGGTTAGGCGTGGTATTGAACCGGACGACAGCAAAGCCGCCTACCGCCAAAGTCGGGTAGCGGTGGCGGGACTTGAACCTAGGAACATAGGGTCTAAAGCACGCCTGTGACAGTGACTAAACCCCTGCGCCACCAGGGTTTCCAAACGGACATTAAAAGTTTCAAGTATCGTTTGCTGGCAACAAAAGGATCTTTTCGTTATGTCAACTGGCATCTGCTGTGACAGCTCTTAGACAAATAATGCATCTAACGACTTTCAGCTCATCACAAAACCATCCTGGAGAGGATGGATGTTTCACATTTATCAAAATGCAACGCCTGCCAAAGAAACAGTTCCAGTTGTCTTCGTTCACTTTGGTGAGCGGAACTCCTCACAACTAATCCCAATAATAGAAAGCATGAGATTGTTTACTAAAGCTAGATTATCAACTGTTCCGCGTAGCCGGACGCCTAGTCGTTGCCAATAATTGATCACGTGGTCAACAAGACAACACAATACAGTACGTTCAGCACGTTCGACTTACAAAGCGCTGACGACCAGCGACTTAGACAGGAAAGAGAATCAAGGCGAGGTGTTTGGGGCTTGTGGAGTTATATCAATTCCATCGAATTCTCTATAGAGTAACGAAATTGAAAAAGGCTGGCGACTACATTATCTAATAAGCACAACTAAAAGATATCTCAGCTTAGGTGGAAGAAACTTCACTTTGTAGTTAAACAATGCGTGAGCATGACGAAAATGTGACACGATTTTGATGCTGTTAGTCACTAAGATAAGATCCTAAGTAGAAGCAAGAGCATCCCTCACACGGATTTAATAACCCTGCCTGGTTGATATATGAAGAGGAGGCACAGAACCTGTTTTCAGGATGACTCGATCGATCCCTTGCATCGCTCCAGTGATTCGTTAACGCATTATTCTTAATGGATACCGGTTTTCAGAGCGCATTCATCCATAAGCTATTATTTCGACGTTTGGTTTAGCAAACCACATGCAGCGTGTCTTTGAATCACTGAAGACCCACTCTCAAAACATCAGTGATCACTGCCAATCCTAAGATTACTCTGTTGATTGAAAAAGATGCCTCCAACATCGTCATCGCAGCGAATCCAAAGAAAAACGGGCGGTCTGTAGCGTTCTTCTCGAAAACCTTAACAATCAGCAAGCGATATAATTTGGCCACTGAAAAGATCAACGCCGTTGCTCTATCTGTTAGCAATTGGTAACACTATCCGCAAATGTGTGTATATCACCGGTTTATGATGAATCATTGTACTGACGTGGCCATCATAAAAAAGAGGGATTCGAGTACAGATGAGAACGATGATTAGGAAGTGATACCAAAGAAAAGAATAGGAGCAACAATAGGTTTTGCAGTCACTAAGGCTACCCCTTCTTTCCTCACAACGACAGGTTTGCGTTTAGAACCTCTGAAAAACTGCTCGCTCACACCCGGCAAAGTGCTTACGCGGAAAAATGCACCACAATCGAAGTCCTGTTATTGAGTAATTTAACCTTTTTGAATGCTACCAAATGTTACGCGCACCCACACTTTATTGACAATACAGAAGACACGGTGTCCATAACTTAGCTAGCTCCGCTGGAGGAGATATGAAATTCCACAGCCTAGTCGATTAACTATAACACACAACGCAACACCCCCGTGGAACACTTCGAAAGAGAAGACAAACTACCCACCCACNCTACACGTTCTATTGTCTTAGTAGGCATTGTTTCCCGTCTTTCGAAACATGACAACCGAAAAATTATAATTGCCCGAAAACCTACAGGAACAGCGACAAAGGACTCATCCTTATAACCTACGAAGCCGATGAGTTTGATGCTTCACTCGAGTCACTTTTGCTTCCTTCATGAGCAGAATCCCATCGGTTTACTTGACGGTTACAATCTGCATTCACACATTACTTTCCCAGAAAAGCGAAGCAAAATTCAGTGAAGTAGTGTTAATAATTCTGAATTGCTTATTGCGTTCGATTATTATTTCTACTGCTTTTTTACTTTTTCAACTTAGTAGCTGATAGTTAGTTAATGAGATCAGATAAGTTTTATGGGTAAGCCTGCCATTTTGTTACTTTAGCTCGCTAACTGAAGATTTATCACATTGGTTGTGTCAACAGTAAGCTACCGTAATTCTGAGGTTCAACTCAATACTCAATATAAAAATGTGCACAATACAAGACTATTTCCTCTAATTTATGGTTTTCGCTCAAGCTTACTTTTAAAACCCCAATGCATACACAAAATAAAAATAATTCCATACTGCATCGGTCGTCGCGCAGGATAATCAGGACCGCGCTGCCCATTGCATCGAGCGGGGTGGGTAGTGATAAGCGGGCTACTGCTCAGATATCCCAACCTTTGTTTAACTCTGTCTTCCACACCCAACCCTCTCCCTTTACCCTTTTTACCGACCTGTAATAGTCCCTCAAGAAACTTGGATATCGCTCGCCAAAAGTCATTGCCAAATAGCAGTGTAAGTGATTTACCACGGAATGGATTGCAGATTCTAAAGCCGCGTCAATCACTGAATCTGGGGGCCTTCAACGTGAGGACTTTGATGCAGCTAGGTCAACAAGCATGTCTGGCTCGTACAATGGAATCCTTAGAAATCGATATTTGCTGCGTGTCGGAAACTCGGATCCAGGATCCTACTACTCTAAGCCACTTGAGCGCGCCAGATTTTCCGATGAGATACGTTCTTCGCACATCAGGCGACGATGAAGCTCGTTTAGAAGGTCAGCGCGAGGTAGGTATTGTACTGTAATAGGGTGGAGTCCTCTCTTATCGAATGGATCCCCGTCAACAGTCGCTTATGTGCAGTGCGTCTCCAGGGTTCAATCAGCGTCCGGAAGGGAAGCAACACTAAAAGGTGTTTGTTCATCGTATCAGCATATGAATCGACCGATTGT